ATGCTCCGTCCTCTCGAGGACGCGTGGTCAATGGTCTGACCGCTAGGGCATGAAAAACATAAGAGCGCTCCCCCCCTCCCCCCCCAACCGTCCCCCCACGCGTTCCACGTGCGTGCGCCCCCCCTGCCTGCAAGTCGAAAGAAGTTTCTTTCTATTAATAGTGAAGGTTCCTTGTGCTCGTGCGAATCGAAAAGCCTCCGTCGAAACAGGAACAATAGACAGACACAGCAGCTCAGCAAACTTTCAAGTTGTCATACCGATAGAACGCCGTATCACGGTTCGGTTGCCCCGGCGGCAAGGCCTGGAGGCAGGAGACTATCCCACCACCCTCTCCCCTCGTCACGACCAGAAAGAGCAAAGCACCATCATGAAAAACAACAGCAGCAACAGCAGCAGCAGCAGCAGCAGCAACAACAACAACAACAACAACAACAACAACAGCAACGCACCTCCCTCGAACGCTGAGGCTCGGCGGCCTCGCGCTCCAGCTGCTCCAGCTTCCGTGCCCTCTGACCGATCTCCGTGGGAAGCACCTGCGTCAGCTTGTTGTCCAGCGCAGCGACCTTGGGGGTGGCCGTAGCGCCACCAAATCAGCAGGCGCGGCAGCAGCGGGAGGGGTACACCGGCCGTAGGTTGGGTTAAGGTAGTAGACACGCGCGATACAAGGCGGCGGGCAACATGAGCGGGCAAGTTTCCCTCATACGCATTGCCAGCTGTTTGCGCCTTCCACCACTAATACCACCACCACCACCTCCACCACCTCTCGTTGACCCCGCGTAGCACGGCGGTATTCATTCTAAGTTGTCTATTGTCCTCTCTTAGTGCCGACGCACCCGTCACCGGACCGACTTGAAAAAAAAAAAAGCGGGCGACATGATGTCACGTCGTCACCTACAGCAGCAAGACTGCAACAACAGCAGTAGAATACCTCTCTTTGCAGCTGGCCCAGCACCGCCGCGGCGGTCGTAGCCGACGCCGTCCCCTGTCGGAGCACCCCCAGGCGGCGGCGTGCGTCCTCCGCCCTCGTCTCGGCCTGGTGGAGCTGGCCCCTCTGCTGGATCGACTTGGCGCCGAGCTCGGCCATTTCCTCCTGGGCCTTCCGGAGCCTGCTCGTCACGTCTAGCATCTCCGCGAACCCTGAGGTATGTACAGCGGTGGCATTGGGAAATACAAACAAGACGGCTTCGACACGTCCCTCTCTCGACTGCTGTGTTTTGTAATTTATTGTCTCGAACCGGTGGTTAGTCTGTCTGTGATTGTATATGTTCAACATTCATTCTTCAAATAAAAAGCATACAACAAAAACGAAAAAGAAGAAACGTGCGTGCGAGCGGTGTTGGTTTGGGGGGCGGGGGCGGGGGCGGGGATACAACGGGTTGATAGCATGTGAAAAAGAGACACACTCACATGGAGTGAAAACGAGGCGTTTACGAAAAGCCATGCCATAGATTATGCGAGGTCCGCACGGAACATTTACCATGGGCAAAAATAAGTCAACTGGAAACTGGTTGATTTCACTCAATAGGAGCCGCAACAAAAACACAAAACAAGCCGCCCCACGCCACAACATATTGGACCGATGACGTGGGTATATCCCTTTCCGCGCGAAAGGCCCTCCCACACTCAAACAACGCCGTACACACACCTCCCGGTACACCCACCCCGGTAAACAAAAGACACACACCAGGCTCTTCCGAGACGTTGGCCTTGAGCTTGGAGATCTTCTCCGTCAGCTGCTTCTTCTCGTCCTCGAGCTGACCGATCTCCGTGCGAAGCTCCCCGGGTCTGAGGTCGGTGTTGCGGGTCTGGTCCACCTGCTTGTGTGTGGCCTTGAACTCCGCCTGGGGCGGGCGCGCAAGCAAGTACGCATGGCGGTCGCGGTCGGTTCGCGCGGCGCAAGCACACAACACGGCGCGAATCATCGTTTACCTGCCTACCTACCAGTGGTCCTTGTGTTTCACTGTCTGAGGGGGGAGTCTTCAGCATGTACAGCAGTATCCGCCAGAGTACTTGTATATCCACAACGAATTATCCCTTCTCTACCCTTGACCTACTCCCCCGCTGGAGTTTAGGGAAGTGGGCTGAAGAGGCGGGAAGTTAATAGATATGATAGGGAAAACATTTTTGAGCCACCTTTGGAAACGTAGGAAGGGGCGATAGGCGATCGGTGATCGGTTCTGCGGGACCAAAGCTCCATCCTCTCGAGGACGCGTGGTCAATGGTCTAACAACTAAGGCATGCAAAACATGGGTACCCCCCCCCTCCCCTCTCTCATGCAGGATACGTGCCCCGGCAGCCTTCACCTACCTGCAGCTGCCGGTGAGACTCGTGCAAATCGATCAACGCCTGATCCTGCATGAACTCCATCGGAACCTCGACCGGCATGAGGTAGCGGGCCAGGTAGGCCCGTTTCTTGAGCTGCGGTAGCCGCTGCAGACACCAGTGCATGGCCGGGTAGACTACTTCCTTGTCTCTGGGGCCGGAACAAGTTGCGAGCATCATGATCAGTGTAATGGCTAGAGACGGCGTTGGTAGGGTGCGTCTGGGGTCGCATCCAGGACAGGCCTCGGGGTCAGGTTGCGGCAACAAGCATGGGAGAGCATGGGAGGGTTGCCGATGGTAGGCCGCCGTGCGCTACGCTACAGAGGCAGCAGAAGCAGCAGCAAAACAAGGGACTAAACGGTAAAAGTGGAAGACAAAATGCTCATCTCTCACGTGACTACCGCCGTAGGTGATCCACCTACCCACCGACGCCGGCGAGTTCGGTGCCTGCCCTGAACTATTTGGCACGATGGCGAGCAGAAAATTCTCCCTGCCTCTCTCTCTCCCCCCCCCTCTCTCTGTCGCTATTCCTCTATATCTGTCTGTCTGCTGTACCCGTCCGTCCGTCTGTCTGTCTGTCTGTCTGTATGTATGTCTGTCTGTCTGTCTGTCTGTCTGTCTGTCTTCTCTGTCTGTCTGTCCCTCTCTCTTCTCTCTCTCTCTCTCTCTCTCTCTCTCCCTCTCTCTCTCTCTCTCTCTCTCTCTCTCTCTCTCTCTCTCTCTCTCTC